TTTTATTAACGTGGGTTCTTGAACAAGTTGCAGTTGGCAAGGTCATACACTAATCCAAAATCAAACAAGCCTTGCAGAATGTGTGAGCCCAGTTATCAATTCTGATGCCCACCAGGATCCTCTCTTTGCTGGTCTAAGGCAAACTTACTCAGTCTAAGGGAAACTTACTCAGCAAAGAGTCAGAGCTACCTACTTCTCAGTAAGTGTTCTCTACCCTTTAACTCAGTGTTTTCCCACTTGGAAACTCTGAGACACATCAACTTCAGCTCCCAGAATTCCCCAGGTGGCATGGCCATGGCTGGGAATTCAGAGTGATGGTCCCCATATTTGGAAATTGCCAAAGTTGGAAAGCAGTGCTTTATTGCAAGAAAACAGCTGTAAAAAGATAACTTTCAGGTCATATGGAACCCATTAATCTGCTTTTTAATATAGCTTGTTTGATTCTTTAACATTTTTGAGATACAAACCTACTGAAGAAAAAAGGTCTGTCTGATATTGAGCCCAATATTCCTTCCTTCCTTCCTTCCTTCCTTCCTTCCTTCCTTCCTTCCTTCCTTCCTTCCTTCCTTCCTTCCTTCCTTCCTTCCTTCCTTCCTTCCTTCCTTCCTTCCTTCCTTCCTTCCTTCCTTCCTTCCTTCCTTCCTTCCTTCCTTCCTTCCTTCCTTCCTTCCTTCCTTCCTTCCTTCCTTCCTTCCTTCCTTCCTTCCTTCCTTCCTTCCTTCCTTCCTTCCTTCCTTCCTTCCTTCCTTCCTTCCTTCCTTCCTTCCTTCCTTCCTTCCTTCCTTCCTTCCTTCCTTCCTTCCTTCCTTCCTTCCTTCCCTCCATCAAGCCCCAACTCCCCATCTGGAAAAGAGAACTATAACTTAGCTCATAATCCCATACTGACAAACAGTCTAGCAAAATTGTTTATAAGTGAAAGGTATACATGAACAGGAAGTGGTTTAAAATGGTAATTTTTGCCACCTGAAGAACTGTATTATATGTTTGTGTGTGTGTGCATACACACACATATACATACACACACATACACCCTGCAAACAGAAAAACACATAAACCTTGGTATCTAAATCCATGAACCCTGGTCGGTGAACCACTGTATCCTATACACCGTGTGGAGCAATAGAAAGATGAGCAGAAACACATGGGTTAACAAGCTTTTTTTCTCATTTCTTGTTTTTCATTATGTCTTTTTGGGGAAATAAAATGTGTACAGATAGGCAAGGAGAAAATATTTGAACTCCCGTATATGGACCTGGATCCCAATCTCATATCATCTAGGGTAAACAAGGGTTAATGGAATATGGATTTATATTTTCCCCAAAACCCAT